AGCTCGTGTGCCCCACAATGGAAGTCTAAGTCGATTTTCTGAAATAGGTTAGTCATCTTAACGATTCTAGACCGAGTTGATACGGTCTTTGCTAGCTGCCATTTTAGTGTCGTCAACGAGAACAAGCTCTATAACTATACTTTGGACTCTCTCATCCCTTTCTTCCCTTACGACGTCCAACGCAAAGATGGGTACTCTTTCTCTCTCCATTTTTCTACTATGTTCAATACTGACACCTCTCTCAGATCTAGGCTTTTCATTTGTTTTGTTTAATTTTTAATTTTTAATTTATTTATTTTTTTGTATTTGATCCTGCAGGAAACTCAACGTCACCTCAGTTAACGATTTTTGTTTGAAATTCTTTTTATTTTTGCCCATAAATTCATAAGCTTGATGGAACTCTGCTTGTGGGAATGATGAATTTTTGTGGAGCAACAAAGATGGGATGAACAAAGCTTTCTGGGGAAGATGATGTTGTCCAGAAATGATTGTTTTCGAGTTTTTCGGGCTAAATATTCTTAATTAAGGGTAGGGCCATGATATTGTACAACCAATTACTTTTGAGTGCTAACATGGATCAGGGAGTCACTTACTGATAATCTTGTCAGCGAACAAAACGCTATGGGAACACACAATAATTTACTACCATATTCTTAAGTTTGTCTAACCCAAGTTTTATAGCACAGAATAACACGCTATACCTTGGTCCCCTACTATAAATAGTGTGTGGTGTAACAAAGGTTGGGCCAAGAAGAAAGGCCTTTGTACAAAATTATATTATCCGTCAGCCGCATTGTTGCTAATTGTGTTTGGGCACGTATGAATCAAATTAGTCCAATGCATTTGACTGAGGCAAGTAGTAGGTAAGTTTCCAGTGTTTTGGTTATGGGGAGAGAAAATGAGGAAGTTTCAACTTATAAATATTGTTTAATTAGTGAGGAACGTTAGAGCACCTGACAGGTATCAATTGATTGCAGCTATTAATATTGTAAAATTAATTAAAAAATTATTAGAACTGAATAGGGAGAAATAAAGGCTTAATAAAGGAAGAAAGGTAAGGTGTGAGGTATTTTGAGACAATGTTAAAAATGTAGAGAATGAGGATATTTTAATGTTGGATGTTGTAGTTAAGTTTAAGAGTATTGGTGATAGCAGTGTAGTTTAAGAAAACCGGTTTTCTTAGTTCGAATAGAGAGTTGTGAAATAGTTTTTAAAATAATACCTTATTACATGAGGAGAATACAATTCGATTTATTAGTGGGGTGCAGAAGACACCCCGAGACACAAATATATTATAAATTAAAAAAATTCTCATAATTCAACATGATGAAGCATGAGTTTAATAAGAAGAAAGTGTAGTACGCGGGCACATATTTTGGGCGCAGCACGAGGCGTCGTGGTTTTGGCAGTTATAGATGGTGAGTGGTTAAGTTCAGAGTTTGAGGACTAATAGAGAAGATTAGAAATGGTTGGGAGGTTTTGAAACGGTTTTGGAATAAAGGTTTACGATGGGGGTTTGGGGTTTGTAGTGAAGGGAAGTGATGGTTTTAAATTATTAATATATAATGGGGAATATAAATTAAATATAAAGAATTAAAAAAATTAAACCAGTGCAATCGAAAAGTGTCGTGCAAATAGAAGTATTAATGTTTTGGATGCAAATTAGAATACGCGCAAGGCGCGTTGTATTCGATATTGCATAAAATAGTTCTTAACCATAAGATTTTGCTTTAAAGATGTTTAGAGAGTAAATCGGGCAATATGTATTAAGGTTGTAGATCATTTTAATGTTTTAATTACGAGAATCAACACCACTCAGGAATATCCTTGTGAATCTAAGAACAGGCATTTAGTATAATTTATTGGATTTTTAGAAATGTTTAAATCTTAACCAAATCACTGAATCAGTTTGGAGTCACATTAAATAATGGGATAAAATAAGGCCGCAAAAGCATAGAACGTTTTACGAATTGGAATAATTTTTCTAAGACATTGAGAGGACAAATTTGCTAAAATCGACTCTCTAGTTGCTTCAAACTGAGATAAAGTGTGAATGCCCTGAATCAGTTTTTTAACTGGCATAAGCCAACACGTTAAGGGACAAAATAAATACTTATATAAGTCGTTCATTGTCACCTAAGATGGAATCGGCAGAGAATAAGCACCGACAAGGATTTTTAATGGAACGAATGTTGGCAACCGGATGAGTTAACCGGCGGCCTTGAGGCTTTATGCTATTTGGGGGATCGCCTACCCGAATCTAGCTCCAGCTAAGCGCGTGTTATCGACCCACAGGTCTTAATGTTCTGCAACATTCGCACACCCTCTGTGTTTTTGCATTAGTAGCTACCAATGACGAAAGCCTTTTTTTCCATTTGGGATTTAATGGGAAGCAAAAACTCAACAATCAAAAATCATGTGAAAAATCTTCCCCACTTCAAGAGCCTTCCCCATGCAAAAATCAAGGAAGAACATGTTAGTACCCAGTAAGGTTTAATCCTCTAAATTACATTTGATATATTAAAGTGGAATGTGTAAAACCATGTGATTTCTCTACAAAATATGTGAAAGTGCACAGTCAAATGCCAATACAGATCATAATCACACATAAGATATTATTACCGAAATTAATTGTTAGAAGTTGCAGGAAAAAACACCCACAAGAAGATTGTTGCTACAACAGCTAAAACCAACTTTTTGCCCAAAAACAGCTCATACTGGAAAGCAAAAAGAACTTGCAAGCAGAAGCCCTAAAATACTGAACCCTGAAAGCATTTATGGATTCTCTACCTAAGCTATATTGCCTTAAACCTAAATTGTAGTCATTTTTATGTTGTTCAAGTAATCATGGAGTTGGCAAAAGTTCACTTGTTCTTTGACTTCGATTTCCGACTATAGATCTGTAGTCCGTGATGACTGCGAATGCGTGAACCAAATCACAAAAGAAAGAGATTTTATATATTGGTTGGTAATTCACAATGCTCCGTATAATGGAAAATAATTAATTTAAGTTTTTTAAAGTTTTAATTTTAAAATTAATTTTTTTTATAAAGTTTAAAATAACTAAAAAATAGAATAACGGAAAAAGACTTTCGTAATTTTCCTTTTTTTTAAATCCATAAAAATGGGGCCCAAATTAATGTTCAGCTAAGTCCAATGTTGTAAGTACATGCACGGAGTATAATTCACGGGTAAGGTCATTGGGGGAAGTACCTCTTAGGATGATTCCAGTACCTTATTCCCATACAATTCTTGGGAGAGCTGGGAAAAAAACGTCTACGGAAAGCACCGTATCCATATAACTGCGCTTTCCAAACTTTTCAAAGCATACTTTCCTAAAAATGCATTTCTGGGAAATATATCAAGTATATAAATATATACTGAAAACAAAAGCCCACTCACTGATATGTCGAAGGGTCGTAGCCCCTGAGTCGCTCGTGGATACGCTCGTCCTCTGGATAAGTCTCACCTATATGCGAATTAACTATAAAAACGTTATTTTAAAGCACATAGGCAAAACTAACTAATAACTTCTCATACATTGCTCAAATTGGGTATATGAATATACCACAATGATCTACACAACCTCAGGATCATCCCCAAATTTTTAGATTAATTTTTCGAGCTCCTACCAGACGCCACGCGCCGGCAAGGGCACGGCAAAACGCGCCCCTACTCGCGGCCAAACCTGACGGATTCCCTAACCACCATTAGGGAATATTCCGTTAAACCTAATAGATTCCGTTAAAATTGATTGACGGCGTCCGCATATTCCGTCCAAACTGACGGAATATACCGTCATCTTCTCTGGCGAGTCGCCGGTCGCCGGAAAACAGGGAAAAACTTTAAACCCATTATTCTCACTCATTTTTCAACCATTTTTCATGAAATTGGTACCAAAATGAAGCTAATAACATGTAGAATCACGTTATAAAAGTTTCAAGGCTTAAATTCTACTAAAATTTATCTGAGGAAGCTTGATAATCCAGTCAACTTCGAAACTAGCTATCCTGACGTCCAAATTTGTCCAACGAACCACCCCAAGCCTTTTTAGGACCTCTTAAAGCTCTCTATGAGCTTGAAATTCCATAAAAACCAACATTTTACGTGAGCATGAATAGTACCTCAAATCGGGGCTATGGTTTCGACGTGAAAATGATGGATTTCTTACCTGGAATGTGTACCCCAAGACTCGTATGGTCCTCACGAACACAATTGTGGTCTTAGAATCCTCGATCCGTCATGATTCAAAGGGTTTTGGGTTTGAGTCCGTACAGGAGGGAAGGGAGAGGGAGTCTGAGAGATAGAGAGAAGACACGAGAGGGAAGAGAGAAAATGTTATGGGTGTGTGTGCATGTGGTCCAAAGTCACCAATCACAACTAATAATTTTCTTACTTCCAATTAGGTCCAAAATAATAGGGCTTAACACATTTGTCCTCAACTACACATAGCCCCACAATGTCACAAACGTTCAAGGGTAAATCTGTCTTTTCACAACCACGATAAATAATTCTCAGGACGGGCTGTGACAGGTGCAGTTCCTAATTTCTAACCCAATGTATATTTATCTTTGCTGCGATCAAAGATGGTGCGGTATCATCGTCCATCTTGGACTGCAGATTTAATTTTACTGCAAATTTTAGGTGGAGCGGTATAATTGCCCACTCGGCTTATTTAAATTTTCCTGCTATTTAATTTTATTGCAATTTTTGGTGGTGTGGAATAATCACCCACCCTGCTCTGCATATTTAATTTTTCTGCTGCTTGAGTGGTGCGAAATAATCGCCCATCCTATGTTATTTCAATGAGAATGGTGCGGTACAATCGCCCTCCTCATTTATCATGTAAACTTTGAGCCTGAAGTTTCGAGTGCTTATCATTTTGGCCTGAAGATCAAAAATGAAAAATTTGTAAGGATCACAAGTTCTAACAATATATTCCTCCAGAATACATATTATTGCAAGTTCATACACACCTCATTTTTCTTTCAGAAAAGAAAATGGCGAACTTGACAAAGGTTGATTTTGTTGCCCTGGATATTACTGGAAAGAACTACTTTAGTTGGGTAATGGATGCCAAGATCTATCTGGAGGCAGGAAATCTTGGAGAAACCATCAAGAAGGATAACAGTGCATCCTCTCAAGATTGGGTGAAGGCCATGATCTTTATCTGTCGCCACCTGGATGAGGGACTGAAGAGCGAGTACCTCACAGTTGAAGATCCATTAACCCTCTGGAAGGCACTGAAAAATAGATATAATCACCAGAAAACGGTGATTCTTCCAAGAGCTCGTTATGAGCGGGCTCACCTAAGAATCCAGGATTTCAATACGGTGGCTGAATACAATTCTGCAATGTTCAAAATTAGTTCCCAGTTGAAGCTCTGTGGAAAAACAATAATTGAGGAAGATCTGCTGTAAAAGACTTTCAGCACATTTCATGCTTCTAAAGTGCTTCTGCAACAGTAATATAAAGAAAGAGGCTTTACCAAGTACAACCAGCTGATATCTGTACTTATTGTAGCCGAGCAAAACAATGAGCTTTTGATGAAGAATCATCAATCCCGGCCTACTGGATTAGCACCATTCCCAGAAGTGAATGCTGCTTCCCTTGAAGGAAATACCACATCCTCTCGTGGAAATAATTACAAACGAGGAAATGGCCACAAGCGAGGCCCATGGAATGGGAAAGGCAAGAACTATGGTGTTTAGTTTCACAACCAGGTTCCAAGGTATAATCCAGGCTCGAGCTTTAAGAATGCAATCGCCAGAAATGCAAAGCTTATATGAACACTCCTAGAAATCCTGAAGGAGTTTGCCATAGGTGTGGTGCCAATGGGCACTGAGCGCGTACCTGTTATATCCTAAAACATCTGGTGGATCTGTATTAAGCCTCCCTTAAGGAGAAGGGTGTCGAGACGAATATCCTCGACTAGGCTCAACCAATGGAAATATCTGATCCAGTGTCCAATTTATCAGGACAATTAAACACAACCCACCTGGATGTTTCAGACTTTATTATTGAAAAGGGGAATGAAGTTTATGGGTCCGATTGAAATCATTTATGTTTAATTGAAATCATTTATGTTTAATGTATTCTTGTTATTTGTACTTGTGGTTTAATGCTCGCATTTTCAATTCAATAAAAGTAGTATTCCAGTATGAATAAACTGCTTTTTAACTGTAATTTCTTTACTTAGAAAACATGGATAAAAATTATGGTTATTCTCAAAACAAGAGCAATGACAGAGACTTTTGTCTTGCAGACAGCGCAACCACGCATTCAATACTTCGAAATCAAAAGTATTTCTCAAACTTGGCACTTGCAAAAGTAAAGGTAACAACAATATCAGGACAATCAGATGTAATTGAAGGCTTAGGAAAAGACTAAAATTATGTTACCAAATGGAACAATATTGTCCATACAAAATGCGTTGTACGCCACTCGGTCTACTCGAAATTTGTTGAGCTTTAAAGACATACGTCTAAATGGATACCACATTGAAACAAAAAGTGCAAAAAATGTGGAATATTTATGCATTACCTCCAATGATACCCAGAAACGTATATTGGATAAGTTGCGTAGTTTATCGAGTGGATTGTATTATACATACATAAAGACAATTGAGGCATATACTGTCATTAACCAAAGTTTATTGATTCAAAAGTTTACATACTTTGGCATGACCGTCTGGATAATCTAGGATCTACCATGATGCGTAAAATCATTACCAACTCTAATGGACATCCATTATTGAGCAGACACATTGATGTCTCAAATGATAACCATTGCAAGGTTTGTTCCCAAGGGAAGTTGGTAATTAGACCATCATAACTAAAGGTTGATGCTGAATCCCCATCATTTTTGCAAAGAATTCATAGGGATATTTATGGACCTATTCAACCACCTTGTGGACCATTTCGATATTTTATGGTTTTGGTTGATGTATCTACCCGATGGTCACATGTTTGCCTATTGTCTACTCGAAATGTAGCTTTTGCGAGGCTTCTTGCTCAAATAATTAAGTTGTGAGCACAATTCCCAGATCACCCTATTAACTCAATTCGACTTGATAATGCTGGTGAATTTACGTCTCAAACCTTTGATGATTACTGCATGTTACTGGGCATTGATGTTAAACATCATGTTCCTCATGTCCATACTCAAAATGGTTTAGCAGAGGCATTTATCAAGCAGCTTCAATTAATAGCTCGTACTCTGCTCATGAAAACAAAATTGCCAGTCTTTGCATGGGGACATGCCATCTTACATGCTGCATCATTGGTTCGACTAAGATCCATAGCCAACCACCAATACTCATCAATACAATTCGTGTTTTGGCATCAGCCAAACATTTCACACTTATGGGTTTTAACAGGAGATGTTGGCAAGGATTTAACGGCGGCTCTTAGGCTGTGTATGGGCACCTCTACTGCTAACACTCTGACTTTGACACCCAAAGCTACCATTTTCTTCCAATTATCTTCAAGCAAACTCAACAATCAACATGTGAAAAATCTTCCCACCACCTTCCGCCATGCAAAAATCAAGGAAGACATGTTAGTACCCAGTAAGTTTAATCCTCTAAACATTTGATATATTAAAGTGGAAATGTAAAACCATGTGATTTCTCTACAAAATATGTAAATGCACAGTGCAATGCCAATACAGATCTAATCACAATAAGATATTATTACCAGTGGGAATTAATGTAGAAGTTGCAGGAAAAACACCCACAAGAAGATATGTTGCTACAACAGCTAAAACCAACTTTGCCCAAAAACAGCTCATACTGGAAAGCAAGAAACAAGAACTTGCAGTAGAAGCCCTAAAATACTGAAACCCTGAATGTTACGAGTTATATATTAGTTAGAGGGTAAATAGTAGTTTATTGTCTCATATTGGTGAAGTACATATGTAATACTAATTGTAACTCCTATATATACTCTACTTTGTAGATTAATGAATATATTAGAAATTCCCAAATATTGTCATATATATATTTTTGGTATTTACCGTGTTTAGTTTAATATCGGTATTTACCATGTTTAGTTCAATATGGCATTAGAACAGTTCGCTCTTGATGACCTGTGTGCTTTAATTTTGTGCCCACATTTTTCGTGAAAAAAAAAAATATGAATAGTGTCGTGCAACAGTACAGTGCGTGAACAGTTGTCTGCTTTGTGAACAGTGGTCTTCTATAGTGCCGTAAACAGTGATTGCTACAGTGTCATGAATAGTACTCTGCTACAGTGTTTTAGTAAATTATTTTCATTCCGCTGCGTATCTTTTGTGCCTTTATTGTTCGTGATTTTGTTCAATGACTCAATATAATCATAGTGTTGTTATGCATCTTGGTGGAACAAATAAATGGATAATTGATACTGGAGCCACTGATCATGTGACTAGTGACCCTAGAGTGTTTGATGAGTTATGTAACTATGTTCGTGATCCGTATGTTACTAGTGCAAATGGAGCACATTCCCCTGTGAAGGGTGAAGACACTATCTTTCTGACTCCAACCTTATCATTGGTCCGTGCTTTACCTGTTCCTGATCTTAAGTGCAATCTTTTGTCAGTAGGAAACTTATAGATACATTATATTGTTCTGATCACTTCCACCATACGTATTGTTATTTTCAAGATATTCAAACTCAAAAGATAATTGGTCATAGTAAAAGAATAGGGGGTTTGTACATCTTGACTATGGAGGATACTGTTGTTTCTGGTTCAAATAATCATCAAGTTTTAAGTGCTAAAGTGGATGACAGACATCAAATTTGGTTGTGGCATCGATGATTGGGACATCCATCATTCAGTTATATGAAACATCTATTTCCTTCTTTGTTTCGCACTTGTAGTGATTCGGAGTTCAAGTGTGAAACATGTGTCATGGCTAAGAGTCATCGTGCTTCCTTTCCCGTAAGTGATTCTAAAGCTATTTTGTCATTTGATTTGATACATTCTGATGTGTGGGGTCCGGCAAAAGTTACTTCTAATGGATTCCGTTGGTTTATTACTTTTATTTATGATTGTACTCGGTTAACTTGGGTGTTCTTGATGAAGAATAAGAGTGATGTTCCGTAACTTCTTCAAGAATTTTGTACAATGGTGTCTACTCAGTTTCAGACCAAAGTTAAGGTCTTCAGGTCTGATAATGGGGGAGAATATGTAAATCACGCTTTGGCATGTTTTTTTCGTGATCATGGTATTATTCACCAGACGACTACTCCGTTTACACCCTAACAAAATGGTGTGTCCTAACGGAAGAATCGTCAAATAATGGAAGTTGCTCGCTCCTTGATGTTGGATAAATGTGTTCCTAATCATTTGTGGGGTCATGCTGTTTTGGCTGCTGTGTATTTGATTAATCGTGTTCCAAGTAGGGTTCTTGATTTTCAGACACCGTTCGATGTGCTACAAAAACATGTTTATCTTGTTTCTGTATCAAAGCTTTCTCCGAAAGTGTTTGAGTGTATTGCGTATGTGCATGTCTACTCTTATCAGCGGAGTAAACTTGATGCATGTGCTCTCCGGTGTGTCTTTATTGGGTATGCTAACAATCAGAAAGGCTATAAGTGTTATCATTCTCCAACTAAAAAAACTTATATTACCATGGATGTCACCTTCCATAAGGAAGTTTCATATTTTGTGAAGCCCTCTTCCGACTCTCCACTTCAGAGGGAGATAGGGAGTGAAGTGCAGATTCGAAGAGATGGTATGGATGATGTGTTACAGGCAGAGTTGAGAACATAATCTATTATGTTGCTTGATACTGATCAGTCTACTACAGATAGTGATCGATCACCTATTATTCCCGGAACTATTTCTACTGACGATAGATCAGATGTATGGATGATGTGTTACAGGCAGAGTTGAGAACATAACCTATTATGTTGCGTGATACTGATCAGTCGACTACATATAGTGATCGGTCACCTATTATTCCTTGAACTATTTCTATTGACGATAGATCAGATGTGCCCAGTGAATTGCCTGTTAGTATGTCTGACGAATTACCTTCTAATGATCGGTTGCCTGCTGCTGATATGTCTAACGAGTTGCCTGGTGATGGTTTGTCCAGTGATGATTTTTCTAACAGTTTGGTACAAGATGGTGGCATACATGAGGTAAATTCTGACGATACTTCTACTTATCAGTTGCCTCCACGAGCTAATCGTGGAAAACCTAAAGTACAATATAAGCCTGATATGCATGCCAAAGCCAAATATCCTATCAACAATTATGTGTATGCTCATCGTTTATCCAAACCATATGCATCTTACATATGTCAGCTATCTAGTGTATCAATTCCAACAAAATTGCAAGATGTTTTGTCTGATCCTAAGTGGGTTAATGCCATGCAAGTTGAGATGGAAGCTTTGGAAAAGAATTCTACCTGGGATTTGGTTCCTTTACC